AAAGGCTCACAACGTAGACTTCTCGGCTAGATCGCAGTTGGTAGCCAGGAATGGGGAAGCGGACGGCGACCTTAACCCTAATCCTAAACTTAACCCTAACCCTAACCTCAACATTAAACTTTAATCGTTAACCCTAACGGCAACCCTAAACCCTAATCCTAATTGAAATTGTAGGCGTAACCGTAGCCCTTAGACATAGCCGTAACTGAATAATTTAACCGTAATACTAAACATAATCGTACGCTCAAACCCTAACCGTAACCCGAAAACCTAAGCCTAAACGCTTACCCCTAACCCGAAAATCGGAAACCATTGACCGGTACCCTAATCCTAATCTTAGACGTAAAACAAAAGCCAAATGGGTCAGATGTGATTATGGAGCCCCACCAGATAGCCTCAGTAAACAACCCCCCCCCCCTGCCACCTGTAATACGGGTCCTGGCTACCAACTGCGATCTCGCACCATCAGGAAACGAACTCTAAACAAGAGGTGGAGAGCGGACAAAGAGCTTTGCTCACGTTCGTTATAATACGTACACTAAAGACCAGGAGTGGCCGTCTCCCCGTAAGCACCTTTCCGCCAGGCAGTCTTCCCTCCTTGAGAACAATGAAAGTGTCTAATTAAGGTTCCTAAGCCTTCTCGAGGTAGAAGATGATAACCCCCGCGCTGCTGATGAGTAGAGAGAGGAAACAGTCGACGGAAGCCTGCGTCAAATTGTCCCATTCCAAACCATTTACCCAGACTGGAAACTGATCGCAAGCTGCGCGTTAATTGCTCTCTACGCGCTCCGCTCCCCCACCCCCCCCCCCATCTCTCAGGCTTCCGAGAATTTTCATGGGGCAGAAACGGTTCCAGCCTGAGAGAGAGACCTAATTGGCCTCCTTTCTCTCTGCCTTGCCTTGGCTGACTGCCGTCGCGTAACCAGCTAACCACCTGCTCCGGTTGTGAACCCATCAATCCACCCGGAGGCTAATTTGCCTCCTTCGCCTCAATTTTCTTTTACCCCGAAGCTTACAAAGTCACTCGGGAGGTTAATTGTCCGGAGGGGGGGGGAACGGGTGTGCGCGCGTGAGACCCACTCTAGCGCTCGGCTACTGCTGCGTTGTTGACGCGCAGACCCGGGGCGGACGTGCCTCTCCACAAGGCAGCATGCGCCGTGAACGAGCGTGGAAAGAGCTTGTAACGAAGACGTTGGTGTAAATGTCGTCCTTCCGCCCCCCTCCACCCTCCGGGAGGCCTTGATAATCGTCTGGTTCACTCGGGTGGCCGTGAGGACCTGAAAGGGAGGGCAGAAGGGAAAGCAAAAAAGCAAATGAAACCAACTGCTCGTGGCAGTAGCAAAGGCAGTGGTAATAGTAACCGCAGTAATAATAGTGATAGCAAGAGTAGTAGTGACAGCAGTAGCAGTAGGGGTAGAAACGATAGCGACAGTGTCAGTAACGCTAGTAGTAACCGACTAGTGGCAGTGGTGGTAATGGCGGTAGTAGTAGTAGTAGTAGTAGTGGTAGTAGTAGTAGTAGTAGTAGTAGTAGTAGTAGTGGTAGTAGTGGTAGTAGTAGTAGTAGTAGTAGTAGTAGTAGTAGTAGTAGTAGTAGTAGTAGTAGTAGTAGTAGTAGTGGTACCAGTCCATAGTATTACAGTACCAGCACCAGATGACTGACCAGCTAGGACAGTGAACTGGATCATGGGAGAGGGTTGGAACTGAGATACTCCCCCCCCCTCCCCTCAACCACAGCAAATCAGCACATTCCTCACTTTAATAAATCTGACGCACTGTAAAGCTCCCAACGCTGACCTGAATTTTATGGATGGAGAGGCTGCTGGTTGATTGTATAAATTGTTTCTCATGGTCAGTACTGTGTGTATGTGGGATGCCTAAGCCGAGGATTGGAGTCATACTCAATGGCTCCTTCTTAATGTAGCCTCAATAGCACTCTCGTGAGTGTGAGATCCGAACTGGCCAGCTTCTGTGAAAACCTGTGTTTGGGCATAGACGAGGCGTTTAGCTTTGTCAGCCCCTGATCCCGAGCTCACCTCCGGCTTGGTGAGTGGGGGAGGGGAGACTGCGGCAGATGCTGTAAAAGTCTGTCGTACCATAAACTAATCAACGTGCAGGCTTGCTGGTGTCTTGAATTCGGTCTCTATAACGGACTTAGCTGACAACGCCACCCAGTGAATAACAAAGGCAACGGGTGAAAAGTCAGCCCCGAAACTGGTACCAAAATTCACATCAATTAGGTGTACCACACAACAGTCAATAAACAGCAACTTAAACAAGCACGAATAAATGCGAGTTTAGGAAGCGACTAATAGACGGAATAGCTATAAAAAGTCGCGCGTATATCAGAATATTGCAGAGGGCTACCAAATGAAAACTGCGACTTTCGTTCCTTGCATTCCGTCCCACCGGACGGCAAGTCGCCATCATCGTAGAAATATCGCTGCCGTGCACCCTTAGCCACGCCGGCTGCATGTCCATGCTGACCACATGACTGAGCCTTCTACCACCAGATTAGGGGGACCGACACTGAGGTATCCATTATCGCAGCTGATCAGCGCATTCCTCAGTGGGGCGTTTTTAAACTATCACGACGCGCCAAAAGTTGTGGCTTGGAAGTCTGCCAACTGACGGGTCAAGTCGGTCATCTCAGTTCGGAGAGTGAGGCTCACTGGCTCCTTTTGGGTTTGGTTTCTATGGCACTCTAACTCTGATGGGATGCGATCCGCCCCAGTTAGTTTTGTGAAGACATTGTGCAAGTGCTTTACTCGTTCGACGTTTCGGACGCACGCTCGAACCCATCATCAGTTATTTTTACAGATACTGTCTCTGATGATGGACTCGAGAGTGAATCCAAAACGTCAGATGAATAGAGTTCCTGTTTCAGCAATCGTTTCTACTTCTCATCAGGTACTTCCTATAACTCGCATGTTCGCTTGTGCCGGCAAAACCTGGTACATTGTGCAACGAATAAGTTGTGGGTGGAATGTGTGGAGACGGACTGTTTGGCTTTGTCAGCCAGATGTCGCTTCCAGTGGTCCTGACTCTGTCTTGTCACCGAGTCCCGGGTGGATGGGGGAGGGGCGAGTGAGGCGGATGCTGCGAAAGTCTGCTCTCGCGCAGGTCGTCTGTGTCGCGCCGTCTTCGTGGTGGACGCTGTCGCCTGCTTCTGTCCAGATTGAAGACAGAAACACTTCTTCCCTCGAACAGAACATTTCGGGAAAATTTTCCCCCGGAATGAGCACTTGAACTGACTTATGTCTGCCTGTTATCTGAGGAGTATGGCGTAGTTATTTAGTCAGTCAAGCCGGGATGAAAAAATTCATACTACTATTATGGCTTACTATTATGTCCTACGGAGGGGGCGGCATGCGCTCCCGTAGGCGGTTCAGACTAATTCGCGTCATTGTCTCCTTAAACAAAGTTGTGACTTTTAGGGGGACCCGGCAACCGTCTGGGAAGTCTCAGAAGTCTTATTTGGGGACGGCACCGATTGCCTCCTGGCTGAGGAAGGGGCTAGAAAAGGAGCCCCAAACAAATGCTGGGATCATCTCCGCTGCATGCAGACCGTGCCTCGCAGATGCAAAACTTGCGTGCGAAACAACTATCACTGTAAACTAATTCACGCGCAAGTCAACGTCCCTGCTCTCACCCGGCTGAAGAGCACTCGTCGATCTAACTGTCATTATGATGTACGTGACCGATCTCATGAAATGTTAGCCGAAATTCTGGAATGCGCTTCCGATTAGGAAGGATTACTTAAGTGGGGTTGTTATACTGATTATCATGCAGCATAACCCTATAACATTTCGGACTCGCCAGGATGTCGGCTTTTGAATGTATTTCTTTTTGGCCTCATGCAGACACCACACTCGGTAAAAAATGACTGCTTAAGTAGCATGTATTTTTTCTATTTATTTCGACGGTCTTATAAATTATATTTGATAGAGAATACGCACGAAAATCACATAGCCTCAATATTTTATGCCCGAAGAAACTGTATATTTTGGTTTAAAAAAAGTTTCCCAACTCTTGAATAAATTTTAGCCTGATCTGCCATTGTAGTAGCGTTTAGCGATTTCAGTCTACAGGGTGCATGCTTTCCGCGTAAGGAAAATCATATATTCCTCCATGCTTTTAAGAAGATACCACACAGAGTTCATGAAATTTTGTAATGGATCTGGTCGGTCTTGTACATTTCATGAGGAGCATTAGTAAACGGACATGTGCGGTCCTGCCTGCATGGACATCGCACGGTCTTAAAAATCTCATGATTGGAAACTTTTTAAAACCAACAGATGCACGTTCTTCGGTCATAAACTATGAAGGCAATGTGATTTCCTACCAAATGAGCATATTTTCGTGTGTGTTCTTTACAAAATGTATTTTAACTTATAAGACCGTCGAAAATAAATGGAAAAAAATGCATGCTACTTAATTAGTCATTTTTCAGAATGTGATTTCTGCAGGAGGCCAAAAGGAAGGGGTTATGCTGCATAATGATCAGTATACTAACCATACTCAAGTAATCCTTCCTTACTGGAAACGCATTCTAGAATTTTGGCCAATATCTCATGCCATCAGTCACGCATTGTACATAAGTGACGGGGTGAAGTTTCAACCAAAACAAAGTGCCTAACTGTGGCGGTCAACCCGGCGATAGCGTTACTTACTTGAGTGGTCTTTTTATAATTGCGACAATGTTTCACGATTACCAGCTCAAGGTTGTGCATATCAGGTGAGATCTTAAGAGTACGAATTCGATCGATCTCTAAAACAAGAAGTCTGTGCTTGGTGACGATAAACAAACCACATGGCAGTGAGCGTGGTCGAAGTACTTGGTAAGAATGGACCGTTAGTGCGTAAAAGCCTGAAAACCCAGCGACGCCGATCAGTTAGTCTACTCGAGCTAAGCCGCCCAGACAAGAAAGGCGGTGTAGCGTCACAAGATGAACGGCGTCGTTCGCGAAAGTTGAAGCCTCATCAGTAGTGTTGGTGATGATGATGCTGTCCGGTCGTCTTGACCTCCCCCCCGATGTCCACTGTGTGCTCCGCAGGCACGGTAAGAGCAGGCACGGCGACTTTTGTGTGAATTAGTAGCGGTAGTAGATTTGTGCAGCATCTACCACACCCTCCCCCCCCCCCCCTACCTGGACCCGGTGTCGAGCCGTGGGTCAAGAAGACTGGAGGTGAGGGAGGGCGCAGATGGCTAACGCGACGGATGAACCTGCACCTAGACGCACCACCACGCCTAAACTGTAGGTAGTAATAGTGCAGTAGGTGGGCTAACTCATGAAATGTCAACCGAAATTTCGAAATGCGTTCTCGTTCCGAAAGGATTAATTAAGTAGGGTTGTAAAACTAATCAAAATGAAGCTTAATTATATAATGATCCAGTTACCTCAGGGTGTCTGCCTTCGAATGAACTTATTGCATGAACTGCATGCAAGGACTTTATTCTGCAAAAACGACTACGTAAGAAGCATGCAATTTTCTCAGTGAATTTCGATGCCCTTGAAATTTCAATTATATTTCATAGAAAACATGCATAAAAATATTCATTCTTTTACTTATTCGATAGAAAATCACGTTTTCTTCCGATTTTATACTCGAAAGAAGGGTATAATTCGGTTTTAAAAAAGCTTATCGATCTCCCGAACCCGACCTGCTGTTACACTTGCATTCAGGGTTTCCAAACTACTTGTCGTATATCTTCCGCATACAGAAAACCGTACGTTTCTCTGCGTTATTAAGAGGAGACCATATGATGTTCATAAAACTTGGCAGTGGATTTGAGCCATATTGTTAACTTTACAAGCTCCGTTGGTAAATGCAGAGACATGACGTTTTATGAACGGCCATTTCACGGTATTAAAAATCTCACAATTAGAGACGTTTTGAAACCGAATTATACCCTTCTTTCGAGTGTAAAATTAGAAGAAGCTGTGAAATGACGGACAAACCGCACTTGCGGACACGGAGGCTATTTCACCCTGTCTTAGTATCCAGATACTCGACCGACTTAGGCAGAAATATTTGGAAGTTACTGGATCCGAACAGAAAGTCTTAAAAATATGCTGGAAATCTTCATCAGCTACTGCGGTGTGGTTAAAATAAAATGTGGTACTCTCCCATCCTCGAAAGAGCCAACTAAAATGTAAAAATTCCAGTCAGTTCTTGCACGATGTTACCAATGGTAAAACGATTAAAATCGATCCAAGTGAGGAGCCGAAATTTGATTTCGGAAGTTCTCTACGAGTATTTGCGGTGGGAGCTTAGGTAAAAGGCTATGAGTTACTAAAATAAGAGCTTATTGAATCCTAAATGAAAGAGAAGGAGCGTGGGACCAGTGATCTGTCTTGACGCATAATACTTAAATGAGGACTAAGTGGTGCTGGTTTTAATAACCCAGGTTGTAATATCAAAGATGATGAGGATGACGACAGTGATGGTGATTATGCTGCTGCTGCTGCTGCTGCTGCTGCTGCTGCTGCTGCTGCTGATGATGATGATGATGATGATGATGATGATGATGATGATGATGATGATGATGATGATGATGATGATGTGGTTAGCAAGGACCACACGATAAGGACATTCACCAATTGCATTGTTCATGTCCTTCTGCCCTTCCACGTACATTTTCCGGTAACAATCGTGAGAGGGCGCCCAAATATCTGTTGCCTAGAAATACCCCCGACAGTTACCCATTTTCCTGCAAATGTAGGCCGTTCGGATATTTATCTATGTAAAATGTCGCATTTATTAAAAGCGTTTCAAAATTATGAGATGTGACTTTAAATTCGCTCATTACAGCTGTTTCATATCAAATCCCTAAAGCGTCTTGCGTCTACTACTAGATCGGTTTGAACCTTTCTTTACAGAATGAGCACTTGGGCTAAGAGGACTCCTCTGTCGTCCATCCCCAGCTTCATTCGCGCTGTTGTTGTATCACCGAAAACTATCTGCAGTGAAAGCATCATTTGACGGAAACGTTTACCCGTTCGCGTATAATTCCCTCTGATTGCCCGCCCCTACTCTATAACCCATCTTCGTTCAACTTGTCCCGCGGCGAACTCATTCTTTATAGACCCCGAGGCAATTCCGACCTTCGGATAGAGCCGTCGTCCCCTCTTGAGATTGTAGTCCTTGTGTCGCCTTCTCCTCCTCCTCCTCCTCCTCCTCCTCCTCCTCCTCCTCCCCCTCCTCCTCCCAGCAGCTTTATTTTCACGCCTCCAATCAACCGGCAATCAGCTATTTGTTTCTAATAATTGCAGCTATGCCCCGTCTACGTTGCCACGACGGCGAGCGTAAATTAGCGACTGGTGGGTTGGAGAGGTGAAATGAGAGCGGCGTGAGCGTGAGGCGGACAGGTGTCTGCGCAAGCGCAGCCTGCCCCTTCCACCAATGGGAGGCAAGCACGCCACTGATTGGAGAGGGAGGATGGTGTGCGTGGCTGTCGCGACACCGTTTTAGTGCGAGCGTTCGTCTGCACTAATTAGACTGTTGCGTGATCATGTAACGGCCCTAATCAGTATCATCGTCCTCAAACAGTCTCTCACTGCGCGCTAGAGCTTGGGGACAGTCCACGAGTAAGATGGACCACAAGACGAGCGGCGCTGGTCTAAACAGCATGATTCGTGCTTAATTAGAGGCGACATGGGGAGGGCGTTGGAATAATCGCCTTTCTTATGCAAATAGGAAAAAAGGCCTGAACTAGAAGTGAACTTCTGCTGGTTTTGGTCTAATGAAGTAATCAGAGAAACAGCAGGGGGGTTTGGCTCGGCTGTTAATTATCTAAACCTAGACGCAAGTGGTGAGTACAGTCTGAGCAAACAATCACCGTTAGTTTTTTTCCTATGAAACGACCCGTCGGTTGAAAGATTGGCCGCAATTAGGTTAAGCCGAGTAGGGTGATGTAACCGTGTGCCATTCCTAATCAAGGAGAGGAATATTCTTCGCCCTGGCCCATTATAGTGAATTTAAATACATTTACCTCTATGAAGTTAATTGTTAGGGTATTTAATTTGTAAATTGTGATGTTGTGAAATGTGTCCCATGAATAGCTTTTGCATACTGGCCTTAAGTGAGGAGAAAAAATGAGTCTTCATAGAAACTATCACAATGACCCGAAATATTACAGAGGAAAGCAAGACATTTTTTCCTCTTGAAAACTTAACAACTTTGATATTTGATGGATTGTCTGAGGTGTTTAAGAAGAGACTAGATGATATCTGCTTTCAATGTAAACTCGAAAGAAAAATTGACAAGCTTAGTGTAAATTTGTATTGGTGATCTGAGAGAGTGACTGTTTGCAAAAAGGCGGGTAAGGGGCAATGATTCTGACACCAGTAAATTTTCGAAACAAGCGCCCCATTTACCTTTGCAGTCAAATACAGTTGTTGGATCCGTACGTTCGTCTATTTCTCTCAGCATCTAGGTGACACACTGTGTGTACATATGACACTGTACCATGCCCACTTCCCACACTTGTCAACTGACCGCCTCGGACAGTGAATGGGGCCTGGGAATGGAAAGGGAGAGTGAGGTCGACGACTCAGCGCATTTTCTTCACTGCAAACAATCTGACGCGCTTGAAGCTATCACGGTTCGCTAAAAGCCGTAGCTTGCATGGTTACCAACTGACGGGATAACTTGGACCTCGCAGTCGGCCCAGTGTTGTGTGTGTTTGCGTGGAGTGGCTCGCTGGTGGTCTAAGAGTCAGACTGCAATGACTCCTTCTTAATGCGGCCTTTTTAGCACTCCCACTGTTGGGATCCGAGCCCGGTGTGACGGTGCACCTAAGCGTGACCTCGGCCGTACCAGCCCCTTTTGTTGTTGTTAGTTAAAATCTTGGTCATTTGCTGTGTGGACCAGGGAGTGTGTAGTGGAGCGCCAAAGTGTGGGCTCGACCGTGCCATCCACCTGCGCCCCCCGCTGCCTCTTGACCTCGGGCAACGATTGGCCGAAGTGGGATATTTGCTTTATGGATTTTTGGCAGACCATAGAATCGGGCTATGGTTGCCCTAAAAGGCAGCCCCACCTACAATTTGGCAAAGTGGATGTACTCAAAACTGAAGTTCCTCCAAGGCAATTCGACTACCTCTGTCCGATCAGCCTCTCAATTCCTCATAGACCTCCGAGGTCGGAGAATTCAATCGGACGAAATCATGGTCTCCTTCGATGTGACGTCGTTATTCACATCCATCCCACCAAACGTGGCCCACGAAGTCTTACGCAAGAGACTTGAAGAGGCGTACGATGAGACTCAGAATGCCCTCAAAATTGAACACCTCATGAGGCTGTTTGAATTCTGCCAACAAACTTTCTTCACTTTTGCGGGAGAGACCTATGAACAAATCAAGTGTACCCAAATGGGCTCAGCGGTCTCCGGTTTGGTGGCAGAACTGGTTCTACAGGAGTTAGAAAAGATTGCCTTCCTCCAACATGAACCTGTGTTTTGGCGACGTTACGTTGACGACACGTTCGTCATCGTAAAGAAGGACATGCTACAACATTGCCACAGCCGGATATAAAATTCACGAGGGAAGGAGAACAGAAACAGCATTTGCCCTTCCTGGATGTGCTCGTCAAACGAAACCTTTACGGTGAACTTGAAATGACGGTTTATAGGAAGGCAACGAACACCACACAGCTTCTCAGTTTTCACAGCAACCATCCGATGGTTCACAAACGAAGCTGTGTGAAGACGCTCTTCAAACGGATCCAAACTCATTGCAGCAAACCGGAGGACAGAGCACGTGAGGCCCGTTATCTCCGCGACCAGTTTGTGCAAAATGGCTATCCGAGGGCATTTATAAGTCGCTGCCTACGCGGTCGCCACCAGAGAACTCGAACATCAACGCCACCGACGATTTAGGCATTCTCTGACATACATCAAGGGTGTTTCAGAAGCGACCGAGCGCATTGCTGCGGAGCTAGGTGTTGGAATTGCACACCACCCCAAAGCCAGCATGCGCAACAGTGTCATTAAAATCAAAGACCGGTTAAAACCTGAAGAGCAATCTGGAATAGTGGATCGCATTCCGTGTCAAAATTGTCCTTGTAACTACACAGGACAGACTGGACGCATGCTCGGATCGCGCATACACGAACATAAGCTGGCTGTGCGGCGAGGCGACGCACTATCACAAGTGGCCGCCCACACCTACGAAATGGGTCACGAGTTTGACTTCGCAGCCACCAAAATAGTCGCCCACGCCGGAAACAAAACAGGCCGAGAATTGATTGAAGCCTGGGTCTCGGATGAGAACTCGGTCAATCGATTTATCGATCTGGCGCGGGCATACAGAGCCCTTCGTAGTCACCTCCAGTCGTGCGACGTCGGTCGATGATTGGGCCTACGTGCCTTATAACTGCCGCTTGTCCTGTTTCTGCCACTACCTCTGACGATGGACTCCTGTACGAGTCTGAAAGCTCAGGATAATAAACGAAGTGTTCCTGTGCTCGACTCTTCTTCAAATATGCATACACCTGGAACTCGAAATTTCGCCTTCATTCATAAAAATATTCATTCTTGTGCTCATTCGGTAGACAATTACGTCTTCTTTCAATCACATACTCGAAGGAAGGGTATAATTCGATTTTCAAAACTTTTACGATTCGCGAATAATTTTGAACTCGCTCTACGGTTACACATGGATTCGGGGTTTCCAAACTACAAGCCGTATATTTTCCGTGTACGAAAACCTCTCATTTCTCTACGGTAATAAAGGGGGACCATATGGGGTTCATAAAATGTAGCAGTAGATTTGATCCATATGGTTAACTTTACAAGCCACATTGGTAAATGCAGAGACATGACGATTTATGAACAGCCATTTCACGGTATTTAGAAGTCCCACAGCTAGAAACTTTTTAAGACCTAATTATGTCCCTCCTTCGAGTATAAAATTAAAAGAAGACGTAGTTTTCTACCGAATTTGCAAAAGAATGGGTATTTTGATGCATGTTTTCCATGAAATATAATTGGACTTTTAGGGGCATCGAAAATCAATGAGAAAATTCACGCTACTTATGTAGTTGTTTTTTACAGAGTGTAGTTTTTGCATGAAGGCAGAAGAAAGTTCATTCGAAAGCCGGCACCCTGAGGTAACTGAAATATTATAGAATTATGTTGCAGGCTGACTAGTTCAACAACCCTACCTAATTAATCTTTTCGAAACGAAAACGCATTTCGGAATTTCGATTGACATTTCATGAGTTAGTCCACCTGCTGTATTAGTTTTATCATTACGGCATACAGACTCAGAAATTGACGTAGCCTGCGGGAGGCAATGAGAAAACCCGCATTTCCGACATAAGTTTGTTTTATTACTTCAACGATGTGCCGGAACAGACGGCGCAATTTGAAAAATGTGGATTATGGCTTTTGAACTAGCAGAAAACGGAAAGTCCACGATTACTGTTTACTGAAGGCGGGATTGGGTAAAACAGTATGAGGCAGGCAAACTGGACGAAGGTCCGGTAGTGGACGATGTCCTGTGTGTAGGATTCTTCATCGATCTTCTACCCGAAAGGTCGGCTCGATTGAGATCTAAAACAGGTGTGATTAATCCTCATTTCTGCGGCCTCAGGACTCGTACATGGAACGTTTTCAGGATGGAGCAGAGTACGACGACATACATCCAGTTTTTTCGGCGCGGCGTGGAATAGTCATTGAAACCTGGTAGCCCGAATTTTGTGCACTTGTTTCGTCCGAAAGCCAGGCACAGGTTGCATACAAGATCGTCGTATAAACAGTAATTTTAACTCTCTCTCGCTTCTCAGGTGTCTGAAGATTGCGGAAGGCTTACCCGGAATCTCTCCTCCCAGTCATAACGCGGTCAAGACCTACGACCTGTCACAAACTGATGTAAATGCCTCTAAAACATGTAAGATCAGACCAGAGGTCACAAAAACGAGGCTTGATCAATGCCTAACCACCAGGCGGTCTTTTCGGTGGTCAGTTGAACGGTCATCCACATTGAGATGGACACACACACACCGATCTGATGGACATTTCAGCGTCGCCGAGCAACTCCGTCCTGTGGCGGTAGCGGCCGCGAAGAGATGAGCACCTGCTGGGTGGCGAAACGATGAAGTAGAGGATATGGGGGAGGATGCGTGAGGACTGAGACGACAGCCTCTTCTCCTGCTCCTTCGATCAAGTCTACTTGCGGCCGACATCTGGTCAGATAAGATCAGATCAGATTTATTAAGGGAAAGGTAGGCGAGCGCTTTTGAACTCCCTTTTGGTTACAATAACGTCATAAAAACAATGTGTAACGCAAGTGTCAAAGAAAGTTAGATAAGCAATTACATGCAACATGCATTGTTTACTGGTATAAATTCGTCTGTGAATGCCTTCTATGTCAAAATTGTACGATAACCAGTACGCGATACTGAATGGACCAAGTAATATTGAAGCAAAGGTATATGCTTCGGTCAGGAGATAAAGAACACTCATAAAACAATGCCACTTAAATATAGGGAGTAGCATGTCATGTGAAGGAAAACTTTGGGGACGGGTAGTAAAGGGGGAATTTGTTAGTTCCGATGTCGCGGAGGTACATATCCCTGTACTGGTCAAGCTTCCTCTTAAATGTGTCCACGGATGAGGACATGACGACGTCCGCAGGCAGAGCATTCCATGTCTTTACCACTCCGTGACTGAAGAAGGACCTCCTTACGTCCAGTCTCGTCCCTGCCACACGTAGTTTCAGAGGATGTCCTCTCAAGCTGGTATTGGTGGCCAGCTGAAAGAAGTCGCCGGATGCGAGACAACAATCCTGACTCCGTAGCATTCGAGACGTTTGAATTAAGTCGCCACGTAGTTGTCTTTAATCCGGGGAAAAGAGGTCAAGATTGGACAATCTAATTTCGCAAGGTAGGTTTTTATGACCTCTGACAAGTTTGTTTGCCCGGTGTTAGACTTTTTCGAGGTGGTACGATCTTTGACAGACCAGGGTCTCCAGGCCTGAATGTCAAATTCTAACTCTGGGCTCACAAACACCCCAAAGACCTTGCGGAAGCACTCTTCGTCGAACTTCGCAAATGCCCGCTTGATGAGATATAAGCTGGACATTGCGGATTTCACTACTTTCAAGCAGTGGAATGATGGATGACAAAACGACGAAGTAGAGGGTATGGAGACAAGACGCGGGAGGACTCAGACGGCAGCCTCTTCTCATGCTCCCTCGATCAAGTCTACTTGAGGCGGACATCTGGGCCCTTTCACAAGAAAACAGAATTAGGTTGCGCTGAGAAACCGATTACGTCAGTGTGTGCTCATCTTAACATGAAAAGTTATACACCAGAGGGAGACCAGGCTTCAACATTTGACGTGATAGTCTTTCACTACTAGTGATTTCGGATACGGAGTAGTTCGGCATGAAGAGGCTTCGCTACGACTAGATCAGAATGTCGCAGGCCTAATTCTTACAGAGGAAACTACAGTAGGTGGGCTAACTCATGAAATGTCAACCGAAATTCCGAAATTCGTTTTCGTTTCGAAAAGATTAATTAAGTAGGGTTGTAAAACTAGTCAGCCTGCAACACAATCCCATAATATTTCAGTTACCTCAGGATGCCGGCTTTCGAATGAACTTCCCTCCGGCTACATGCAAAAACTACACTCTGTAAAAAAATGACTACTTAATTTGCATGATTTTTTCTCGTTGACTTTCGATGCCCCTAAATGTCCAATTATATTTCATGGAAAACATACATAAAACTATTTATTCTTTTGCTCATTCAGTAGATAGTTGCGTCTTCTTCCAATTTTATACTTGAAGGAGGGAAATAATTCGGTTTTAAAAAACTTTATAATTGTGGGACTTTTAAATACCGTGAAATGGCCGTTCATAAATCGCCATATCTCTGCCTTTACCAATGTGGCTTGTAAAGTTAACAATATGGATCAAATGCCCTGCTTAATTTCATGAACACTATATAGTTCCCCTTTATTACCGTAGAAAAATGTGTGGTGTTCCGTACGCGGAAAATATACGGCTGGTAGTTTGAAAACCCTGAATAAAAGTGTGACGATGAAGCGGGTTCAAAAGTATTCGGGAATTCGAAAACTTTTTTAAAACCGAAGTACTACTTATATGCTGGAGTATTTAGCCATCTACTTGTAGTAGCCTAGCGAATAAATTATTGATTAAGCTGAGGCAAGAGAAGAATGTAGGCACGGAAAAAACGAGGTCTCAGACGAAAAGAGCACTACATAAGAAAATAGAAAGCATAGTTTTGAAGTGTAGTATCAAGCAAAACCCGAAAGGAACGTCTTTAATTAGACATGAAACAAAAGCCAAAGCAATTTCCATAAGGAGAATTTCAGATGGTAACACCGAAGTAAAATTGCCTAAAATGGAACTGGGTTACAGTCATTAGGAGCCCCTATACCTTCGGAGAGCCAGGTTAAAACACGCTCTCAGGAAGCATTTGAAGTTGAATGTGGAAGTCATATTCGACGGGGTTGTTAAAAAACACGTCAGTTTATTTTATCTCCCTCAGTACTTTCCACCATTGA